AAAGAACGGACCACATTGAGTAATTTTTTTGTATAATAAATAATATGAGAAAAACAGGAACAGCGATATAAATTCTGCTGATAGTACAAACATGAACATCGTATCTGGATTACCCAATACACAAAGATCTCCAATATTTTTCAACATTTTGAGATTTTTTTCTTACATATACTACGCAATGAACAAAAAAAGAGCAATAGAGAAAATACGCGTATAGGGACGACAAAGGAACAATCCAATTGAACAAAAGAACGAATATAGACCCGAACTACATAGCATCATATTCATGTAACAACAAACCTTTAAAGGGTCGAGTACGATGACAAGACTACCTAAGCAATGCAGTACCCGTGAAGTATACGAAAACGACAATAAATTATTTAACCAACCACTTCTCACTAAGCTACTAATATCACGCTCTTCGACTCTAACTGTACATACAAACAGATGGGTTTTAGCCCGCAGATATAGTTCATCTGCTGGTCAGAATGATAACTGCTGACTGAGATCATTCCACCTCACCTTCCTCCAGTTCGGAAATTGCAGCAGGTGGTGGAGGGGGAGGCGGTAACACAGATGGCGGCAACGGCGGTGGTGACAGTGCCCTTGGAGGTTCCATTGCACGAACATACTGCGCCGAATTCTGAAAACAATAATTTGATTAGAAAGTCCATTATACTACTCTCAACGACGAGTATCGGAACTGCAAGTCTTGTGACATTTCCACAAGCTTTTAAAAACTGGTAAAAGGCCAAAGTATAGAAGCAACAAAATAGTCTCTTTATGAACCTCAGGGTGGAGCCACATTCCCCCATAATCCGGGTGCCATCCCGAGCGAATCGGGTTCAATCCGAATGGACCTGGATTCTGGGCAATTACGACACGACGCCAAGTTTTTTTTTTCGGAAACCCCTCTCTTTTGTTTTTCGAATACGACGACTCCGACGGAACCTAAACTACCGACTATGACATCTACTTGCAACACGAGCTTAGATGCCAAGAGCACCGGTTCGAGAGGTTAAGTTAACTCTGCCAAAGCTAAGGTCGGTGCCAGACATCCGTCTCAACTATTCTGGTTAACTGGACGGACCGGTAGCGAATGAATTGAGCCGAATGAACCGGATAAGACTGGCACCTGCCCAAGCTCACGGCCATAACCGGCGCTCTTTTGGTCCAACTCTGTTTGTTGGTTTTGAAACGACACAGACCTTTCCCTCTTCCCTTAGAATAAACTCATACTAGTCCAAAATCGGATCCAACCGAGCAGAATTCGACTGCGTTCGGTATTCGATTCGGTGCGACCCATAACGTCAATGACACCAATCTCGCATTTTCAAAGTACTCCAAAGTGTAACAGTGCGCAGGATATCGCGCCGAGACCACAATTATATGTCCATTGAAAAAATCCTCCACCGCCTCCAAAAACTCTAAAGCTTACAGACCAAACACAAAAAACCGATACTTGAACTTTGACAAAGGCATGCCTTCCCCAGCACTGTGCAGCTGATGAACGCCATCAAAATCCAAGTCCGCGCTTCAGCGTTTTCTCTTGACCAGTATTTTGTTTCGAATGTTGGACAATGAAAAACAAAGGCGCAAAGTCACGGTAACAGTGGTACTGCGACTTCCAAACATTACACACCTACGACGACACAGAATTCCAAGAATAATCCTTACAAGAGATCAAATATATGCGGTGGAAGAGAATGCACTGCTACGACAAGTGCAAAGAAGTGAAGAAGATAGTATATCAAAGCCGACAAAAGAGAACGAATTAGTCCGGGATAAATTATCTTCTTCACTTCTGCACACTATCCATATCCAAATCCACTAAAGAGGCTCCATAGCAAACTTGATGAAGAGACAGGATTGATCGGATCCAAGTGCAGATGCATAAAGACGCCTCAAAGAAGACCTACGTGTATGAACTCCAAAAGCAGAACCCACTAAAGAGGCTGGATGCGAAAACAAAAGAGAACGACCTTGAAGACAACCTCGACAAGATTAAAGCCATCTACTCCAAAGAAACTTATCAGCAATCTCGACCTCAGAGAGTCGTTCACTGATACTGTACCTTACATACCAGGAAGAATGCAGCGATAAAAATACGGCTCACAAAACACAGATGAAGACAGTTTGTGCCGACAACCGAAGGCAGAGCGCCATACCGAAACAACAAGACGGGTAGGTGACGTTTATTCACAAAAGTAAAACTTCATTTTAATGACTCCCGTTGATAAGAACGAGTTTCCTCTTGCGAAATGCAAGACTATCACGAGGTATATTTGACATATGGCAAGCGTTGAGTTTCGGCTTCACCAAAACTCAACTCTACATGCAAGCAGAGCAAGAAACTCCGCTATCAATTGACTTGGAGATGATAACAACAATAAATGAGGTAAAAGCTGGGTACGTAATAGATGAACTTCGTGTTGTCTATGCGCGCTGAGTTTTGATAAAGCCGACTGTGAACCACTGATAGCACATGTGTGTTATGATGCATGAACAAAGAGATGGCACATGTGTGTGTTCTGATGTACGAGCTAAGACGTCGTCTAATTTGTGAAATTTGCTGCTTCGATGCAAGATCCGAACCTATGTACCCATTACTTTCGAGATCAAAGAGACCTGACATTACCCTGAATATATTACTAAGGCTTATGCTTAAAAGCAAAAATCACAAAGATATTCTCCGTAACTTCATACCTTCAAAACATCGTTTTCTCTTCTGGAATGTGAACCATTTGCACTATTCAAACCATGAGGATGTGATGAAGAGTGGTGCACAGATGGTTGTACTTGAGTCATTGGTCTAGGCGGTTTCGATCCATTTCCAACATTCGTAGAGTCCATAGAAGACGGTGCTGATGACGGTGGCATTTCATGTCTTGGTCTCTTCTCACTGCAATGGACTAAATTATTGGAAAGAAAAGAGGACATGAATCATAAACACTCAGAAAAGAAAAAACTCACACTGGTGGGTGAGGAGCACCACCGGACATCCGCTCATGTTCCCGTTTCCGTCTTTCTCTCTCTTCTGGCCGCTCAACATGGCCATGCCTTTCGCGTTCTTCCCTCCGACGTCGCTCCTTCTCTCTTCTCCTCTCTTCCTCACGACGGCTGTGTTCATCCCGTGATTTGTGACCATTTTCATGTGGCTGAGTAGCTGAAAAAAACCCGATTAAAAACGGAAAGTGAATATTCTTCTGATAGAATGACGCAGACCGCATCTTCCAGTGCAAGACCTTTGATTTTAAAAAAATCAGATTCGTCCCTTTCAATGAGCAGTTCAACATGAAAATACCAGTGAACGAAATTCTAAAAAAAACCAACCCAAAGGCGATGGGGCAATCGGCTCTTGACCAGGCAATGCAAGGTTTGGCATTGATAAGTCTGGACGAGCTTGCGAAGTATCAGGTATAAAACTTCGTCGTGGTGCAGAACGTTCCGCAGAAGCTCGCTCACTGCTAGGCCCCATGGATTTCGTTCGCTCCTGAAAAATAAGTTCTTAAATTAACATTACAAAACCAAAAGGCAAAAGTTAGAAACACACAAAGCCCCTACGGTAAACCGACTATGCAAAGAATACACAATCGCGAGTGGTGGATAAAGACCGAATGAGCCACATTATCAAATCCCACATGCATTTCACACATGGTTTTGACATGTACTAAGTTTCAGATGTTAGGCGGATGACTGACTTTACAGACAAGATATCTTAGTGTGGATAATGTCAACAGATGGACAGACCACAAAACAAACTACATACCTTGTACTCTGAAAGATCCACTTTTTTATGGAAAGTTGGAGGTGGAGGAGGCGGGGGAAGAATTTCCTTTTCTTCAGCAGGACTCCTTGCGGGATTCGGACTCGGCGTTGACGGCTTCACTATTCCCTTTGCTACAAATCGTGTAAGTGCCAACCATTCCCTACATGACTTGTATATGCTGGCAAACTCTTGAGACATCTCTGCAAAAAGAATACTTCGGATGTGGGTGGTTGTAAGAAGAGTAAGTTTAATATACCATTTAGAAGCTCCTGCGTCATGTGCGGATCGAGTTTCTCGTACCATGCTTTTTCTCCAGGAGCAGGTGCAGGAATCTAAAAAATCTCTATGATCCCACGACTAAGAAGCAAGTATGCAGACAAAAGATATGATACGCCTGACAGCATCAGCATACAAAAAAAGATAGGGCAAAAGGGCATAACTCAGGCTTCGGCTAAGGTTTTCACTAACTAGTTGATTAGATATGCCGCTGCATTGTTCACGTAACGCACTAATGCGCACAGCTGCAGAAAAATCAGGCAACTTAGTTTGGGACATAGTCAGTAAGCTCAGAAAAATTACCCAACTCAGCTAACAACCTATTCGCTACCGTGCTTACAAACACTGCATAAACACACAAAACGGGAAAACCTGCTGAAGCCTGGTTCCAAAAATCCCTACAAGCATACGAAAACGATATGAGCCCCCCAAACTTTACGATCGCGAAACAATTTTTATGAACCGCTTTGATTATCCTTGAGTGGTTTACACAAAAGGTAAATGATTTTCTAGACTACGCTATAGGCAACAGTGCATAAACCAATGCTGATATTTCATGTTTTAGCGCAAAAGCCACACAGTTTTATTCCGCTTCGCAGTTCCTACATCATACTAAATTCAGCAAAAGAGTGTAAAAGTATCACATAATGGTTGGAACCGTGAAGCACTTTGTCGGAAACGCAACTAAATCAAAAGAACGAAAATATATTAGGGGCTCACAATAGACGTACCTCTGCTTCGCCTCATGTACGTTTGCCCAAATGCCCCGAGAAACTTGCCAGCGTCTGAGGGGGTAGGTGGGATCGTGAGCGGGCCGCGCCAAATCAACGTGAACTTTTTCGGACACGCGATGGCACTAGAACCCTCCCGCGCACGACCGTATCCACCACGACCACCCACAGTTCGCATTACAAAGCGCGCTCTAGGCAGAATGGGAACAAGGGTTGACCAGCACCTCGTATCCAGCGTATACGCACACGAGGTGTACACAAACACATGCTATCGCACTCGCATTGTATCGAATTGCCCAGTTTGTCACGCACAATCTGAAATTAAACACCATTCAGTCACATACAAATAGCACATCTGACAAAGTCAAACATCTGACAGCCTCCGACTTTCATAATTTTTCCCTTTTGCAGGGAATGAAGCAAAAATAATGACGTCCTAGCTAAATCACAACCTTTACTGATAAAAAGATTGACGACACGTGTCAACTGTTGGCATATGTTAGTAATCTATAACCCAAAAAAAGAAGCCAAATGACATTTTTGAAAGTTCAACAATATGCTGAGGAAGTGAACGTCACTGTTTTCTATCAAGAAAAACAAGGAAAAACAGCGTTTGCTCGAGAGGTTAACTAAAGGTGCTGCCAGATGTAAACAATTCTCATAAACTTGAATAGGAAGTAAGAAAAAAGAAGTCATTAGCTAAGTCATGAGGTCTGAATTGTAAACTCACACATCAGTGGCAAAGAAGTACGCACATTCGGTAAGCTTCTTGTTGTCTGAAAGAAAAGAAATTTGAACAGCTGATCCACTATCACGGAACGATGGGAGAAAACCATTACTATGGGCAATCTCGTGCATCGCCGCCAAAACGAATGGGTGTGGCATTTCGACCTTGAGATCAAAGGCTAAATACGAATCGTCAGAATTTTTCAACTACATTCTGACATACGACTGAACATCGAATGCAAACAGTGTTGCATACATCTATGAGAATTAGTGCTCGCAAATGCCAAAGATAGACTCACCGATGGTTTGGAGGATGACGTTCTCCAACTGGACAATCAGTTGTGCCGCTTCGATGTAATGCTATAATCCACTGATGAGTGGAAAGCAGAACAACGGCATTTTAACGGGGAAACAAAAGACAAACCGGGAGGATCTTTCTCCTTACCGTACACTATACCAAAATCGACGAAACTTACATTATGCGATGGTATATTTGGATGCCGCTCGAACTTCTTTGCCCACCAAACGCGGACGATGAGCTCCAGTTTCCTTGGACATTCCTCACTTTTTCCAGCCAGGAATAAGCAAGCTGCAGCGACATCCTAAAATGTGATATAGAGCAAAACTTAAATCGACCAACACAAAAACGGATACTCACCCTATAATCGAAGAATTTGAAGGAATGAAAGCAGAAGAACCTATGCATGTGCATTATGGCAGCACACATACATAACTGGGAACTGGAAAAAACGTGATGGTTACAGACAGTAATCAAAAATGGAAACTGAATCCTCTTCAGAGCTATATATATCTAGCCCTAAGCCAAATCTGAGCGCTAATCCAAGAAAGATTTGATTATTTACATGATTAATTATTCTCCAGTTCTCAGGAAGATAAGGACGAGGATAGCGAAGCAGAAAGTCTGAGTATCCGGGTACCAACTTCTCGCGCTATTGAGCTGCTTCAAAAAAAGGTGCGGTACGTAGAAAGGAAGTAGCGAACAGAAACATTACGAAGAAATAAGTGCCTCTCTTAGACGCAGCAAAAAATAAAAGCCTTGTTCTACAACCAGCTCAGTCCTCGTACAATAAATTAACAAGAAAATAAGTGAAGAGCATAAATGAACACTGTAGAAACCAAAAAAAAACACACAAAATGGTGACAATTTACGTTCATAAAGAATCTTTGCTGAATCGATAAGCTACACATTTTCAAAAAACTTACATCTTTCCCCGTTGATCGCGGACATTGTGGTTGAGCTGATCAACCATTATTTGAATGAAGCGAGTAGCTTGCTGTCGATACGTCAACTCCTTTTCAGGAGTGAAGCCATGTTCGCGAATGCTCGCAGTATTGGCGGCCTAAAAAAATTCTGTTAAGAAATTGAAAATGAAGGGAAGAAAAGATTATAGCCAGCTTCAAATACTAAGCAAAAAGCATTGTGAAAAAAGTCGAGAATGAAATTGATCTCAAACCTCTTCTTTTGTGAAATACCATTTGTGAATGCTGCCTTGTGTTCCATCTGAATTGCTGCTACCCGGAAGTGAACACATTGGATCCGCCAGACCAAACTAAAATAAATAAAAGTAACACTTTGACTGGCAATTCGCCAACAATACACGAGTTGTACATCGCAGGAATGGAAGGTCGAACAATCACATGACAATCTGCGATATCGAAAAACGCTGCTAGAGGAAGAGCCGGAAAAGGGGGGGGGGCTTTATTGCTATAAGCCTACATCCCTAAAAGGAAGCAAGAGGAGTGCTCCATGCATTCTTGCATGGAGCATGTACCACAAATCATTACAGGAGCGGAGACTCAACACAGCTTGAACTTCCAAAAAATTACCAACCAAATGATGCAAAAAAACGTCTCGTATAGAGGAGCTATACACTGAGACAATGATTGGAGAGATGCACTGCAACGTTTGTTGTCAACAAAATCAAAATTATCATAAAAGAAAAAGCTGAGACTAGAAATGCCACAACCTTAACAAGAGAATATTCGCTGTCAAGCGAAAACGACTAGGCGGAATTTGGCCACGGTGCTTGCCCGGTTTTTGAACATTGGTGTGAACTTCAAACAAGTAAAAAAATTCTAAAATGCAGCGGAAAAGTACGGCTATGCAGGAAAAAGGCAAACGATTAGACCGAAACAACGCAATCACGGAAAGCAGAGAAAATAAGTGCAAAAATAAGGTAAAAAGCTCAAAATCGCCACTAGAAGAAATGCTGACCTGTTCTAATCACAGAAAATTGCCCTGCCAACATGGATTTGACAATAAAACAGCCTAAACACGAAGAAAAAGCAAGAAAAACGATTACAAACGTGAAATTTCGTAAGGATACTCGCAACGCGGCCGCCCGTACGCGTCGCATCGCTTTCGTGCCAAAACTGCGTAGCTGCCCTCATAGTGTGCTTTCCCTCTACCATTAATCATAGACTCGGGCAGCCAAGAAGCAGGCTCTGAGCGCCTTCATGCGCGCGCCTGTTGTGTCGCGTTTCGGCGCGAGTTTAAAAGCGAATTATCTTCGCCTCCGTGCACTCGTCCACGGCGAACGTCTTAGAGCGCGAAATCTCGCTTAGGCCCTGCGAAGGGCGGGGTTGATCGGTTGGTGAGCCGGGCAGGCCGTGAAGAGGGCGGGGCGAAGTTGCGCGGGGGAAGTAAGGGTGCGAGAGAGGAGAGTTAGTAGTGTCCACAGCCGTCGGCAGCTTCTACATGTAGAAAGCGACATTTACGGCTTTTTCTCGAGCACAAATAGACACTGCTTTTCGTCTTACCCAACCTAACCCCAAGCTTTCACCAGGGTAGCGTCAAAACCAAGCACCCCTGGGTAAGGAGTTTAACCCTGCGGTGACGGACCTCGCGTTCCGTGCGTCAGTACCGGAGAAGACACTTCCAACCCCTCATTTCGCCTACGGCTATGCATGAACGATGAGCGATGCGGGTTCCTTGCTGTGGACCACCTTGATGGGCGTGCTTTCCATCGTTACGGTGGTCGGAAATCTAGCTGTACTGCTGTCATACTATCTAGATAAGAATATTCGACATCCGTCCAACTATTTCATCTTCTCGCTGGCTGTCTCCGATCTGGTAAGTGCAAAAGATTAGCCACTCTTAGCCCTTGTAAATCGTATCCAAGCTATTTCTCATATCTTAAAGCACTCTGGAGCACTATCCACCTAGAATTCAACACACAAATATCTAGCTGTCTGTTAATTCGCGTAATCTTTTAAACTCTTATGTTTCAAAGTGCAGATCAGTCTCAAAGCATTCATCACTACTGTTATATTCTCGGATTATTATCAAAATCCTAGAAGTCACATGCTTCTATAGCACTATTATATAAAAAAACTCCGTAAGCTCAAATTTCAAATTGAATTCGGTCGATTTTTTCCTTCACAAGTACTATCAAATCACATTTTTTGCCATGGAAGGAGTATTTCATCCTTTTTCTATGACAAGAAATGGTTATTATATAGTAACTCATTAGTATTACTGGTTATTTTGAAGAGCCTGGACTTAAGAAAATAAGAAAAAATGAGTAAGTTTCTATCACCAAAGTTTCTCTGAATTCACTCATTTTGCCTAGGTTACAGCCATTTACATTCAGTTTCCGTGATGTAAGATAATCTGGCTTCTTACTGATAAATGAATGAGTTTTTGTTTATTGTCACTTAAAGTGTAGTGAAAATATTAATAATAAACAAGATCAATGAAAAACAAAATTACAAATATGACACTGAAGTAGTACTGGTGCTCAACGGCAGTAGCATCCAAAATTTATTCTGAGGTTACTAAAGAAGATTAGATATTAATTCTGAGAACTTGCAACAAAATGAAATTTTTATTTTGAAGAATCACTATTCAATGGAAAATCTATATCATTTGAATCCGTCCGTCTTGCTTCTCTCATCTAAAAACTTCACAGAATTGGATAACTCCAGAAGTGAATCTTATTGACTTTTCCTTTTGCATCTCGGCTATCTCAGTCTGGAAACGGCTAGGAATTGGAAATCCTATAATTGCCTGGAAAGGCAACTCTTGCTTGTTTTTTTCGGACACATTCGTTCACCACAGAGTTACATGCCCTCTATATGCTTGTTGCCGCTACTTCTTTAGCATAAATTGATTCCTTTTCTGCATGTCAAGAAAAGTTATTCATGCCAAGCTTTCTCCCTCTCTCGATGTAATCAGATCTTTCTGCAAGTGTCACTTCTATGCAGAAGCCGAATTAGTAAAGTTAGAAATGATTCTAGATGTTGATTTAAGTTGATGTCAAAAGGAAATGTCTGGATACATGTCATCTACAACCGCAAAAAAACATCCAAAGAATAAACTGAGTGAGCAGAATTCAAATTATAAGAACAGCGGTAGCAGGCCCAGAAATTTTTTCTTGGGTGAGGGTGGGAAATGACAGCCTCCCGAATACATTTTTTTTGGATGCGTGTTGGCCAAGAGTGTAGAATTTCAATTGTGATTCATTTTTGTTCTGGAGCAGATGCTGGAGAGTGTCAAATAAATGCATGTGAAAATAATCCTTTTTTGCTAGCTCTGACCCTAAAATTCTGAAGAGGAAATTTCCTACAAGACTTAGTCGGAATCCATGAAAACTGACAATGACTGTGATTATTTACAATCACTAGAACAATGAATTTCAAATAATCAATAAATAATCAGCCATAAGCCTAGAATTGATGAAATCTTCTTGCAAACTTTTATAAAAATCCGCAATTTCTAGATTTTTGATTTGCTTGAAGTTAATTGTGAGAAAAAGGATTTCGAGCAACCGTAAAAATTTTGGCGACCTGTTCTTTACCCCCCCCCCCCCCACATACCACTTCCTCTTTCCGCCTCTAGGCCATAGAAAATGAATTTCTTTACTAATTGGTGGAAGTTTTCATATCATTCACGGATGATTAGTAGCTTAGAAATAACTTCCGGGAATAGCTGATTACCGACTACAGCCATTCAATAGGAAAGGAAGTTACTTCGTGCTTCTACTCGAATGACTACCTTGCACGTTTCGACTGAGTCAAGTAAACAATTCGTATAAGAGCAGCTGCTTCGAACTCACTGAAATTCAAATTTCTCAACTTTCACGCTTTTGATCTCTAGGTGCATAGAAAAAGCCCTATTAGCCTTACTAACATAACCACATTCCCCAAAATGCACTTTCCCGCCACAAAATATGGAAAGCATGAGAATGGGTCAATGACATCTGCTAAGCTGGTTGTACATCATTTGCCTCTAAGCCGCTTTTATTCTTTCCGCTACGCCATATGCCATCAACAAGCGAACGAAAAAAATGCTGGGATCAGGACTTCTCTTTATGGGCTTGGATGACAGTACATACTTGCCGCAAAAATCCCGGCGAATTAGTGCACTCGCACAAAAAACTCGATTTTGGATGCTGCATAAAAGCAGAAAAGATATCGTTGGGAAAGCGGGTCGAACAACAAGCTGGAACGAAGCAATAAGCATTGGGCAGTGCAGTCGTGGTCACAAGAATTTTGTGCAGTTGCACCAAACACGCCAAGATTTCCAAACCTAGTGACGTCAGAGGAAGGTTCCCTTCAAAGCTGGCAAGAATAGAGCAGCTGTTGTATTTTGGGACAAGAATACATTTTCGCAGAGCAGAATGTCGTAAGCAGCTCGTTCATGTTGTGTTATTGCGGTACACAACAAGCACATACGCATCGAAATTGCCACATCCGCAATTGCAGAAAAACGCTGCATTTTGCGCATGTGTGCACATCGGAAAATGTGTGATGTCTTTCCATATCATGTGGCAATGCAATTTTTTTTTCTGCTTTTTTCAAAAAACCGATTAAAGGAGAAGATTTCTGATTTCAAAAGGAAAAGAATGAGCATTTTGATTGCTTGAATCAGCTGAGATTAGGTTTTTCTGTCGTTAGTGCAGCTGATTGCTATACACTGCAATTACAGAAAAAAAGTGTTTGGATTTTCAAAGAATCTGATTAAAGTGCGGGTACGCTTTATGTATCGACAAATGGGATAAAGTGTAGGAATTGCTATTTTATTCATTTTTCTGTGAAGAAAAGATTTGCTTTCATACCCACGCAGGAAGTGCATCATGGAATTGATTTGGCAAAAGTTTGTCAGGCTCGGCTAGGAGGGTTGATTTCTCTAGAATACTATTAAAAAATAGTTTATTTTCCTTTCTAGAGGTCTGTATCCATGAATTATGAGGATTTTTGGTAGTTTTTGGGAGAATGTTACATTCAAAGCTATTCGATTGCTTAAAAAACGCTGAAAATAGGATTTTCCTCCTAGATTTAGATACGACAGCTATGTAAGCTTTTGATGATCTTCATTAACTCCTTATTCTTGAATTTTATACAACGTTGTACCCCCCCCCCCCCCTGCTTTCTTCGAGCAGCCGATAAGTGAGAAGAGTTAGGAGGGGCGCGGAACGCGTGCCCTGCCACCTCTATTCAACGACTTCCCGGCGACGGCACCTACAAATTGCCTTTTAGGCTTCGCCGTCAAACAGATTTCGTTATATGAATGCAAGCAGAACGACGCAGCACTCATATATTCTCCCGAGTCTCC